AATAAATATCGGCTAACTTTTTTTATACGTAAAAATCATTTATCTTCTTTCATCTTCTTCATATTTGTTCCTTATTTTTATGAGATTTAAATAAATCATACGAAGTTTTTTTTCAAATCTGAATTTTCATAGTTGATTCTCATTTATCTTGATATTTGGAAGATATAGATTTTTTGTATATAAAAAAAGAAAAAAAAGAATTATGTTGGAGCTAAAATGAAAAAAGTTTTGTAAACTAAATTATGAAGAAGATGATAGGTATGGAGTGAAGTGTTTTTCCTTTTTGAAAAAAGTGTAAATAAAAGAAGAAATATATTTTTTAAGTTAATTATAATGTCAAGTGTCAATAAAAGAAGAAAAAATGTAAAATAAAAAAAATAAAAAAGACACTATTTTAAGTCTTTTCAGCGCTTCACATAAGTGCAATAGACATTTTTTGCTATATCAGCATTTTGTGTCTAATAGGTACACATTTTGAACAATTTACATTTTGTTTAGATTATTGTTACCAATTGTTTCATAATTTATTGTATTTTATTGTACTGCATTGTATGGTAGATACAATGTTTGGCTAAATTGTATTGTTTGTTGTTGTTTAATAACATTTTAATTGTTTGGTTTGATTGTATCTACTGTGTTGTAATTTATAAATTTACTTAAATATTCTTAATTATTCTAGGGTAGATGTTTTGACTAGGCTTAAATAATTAAGGTAAAGGGTAAAATAGTATTTTGAAATATTATGTAAAAATATAATTGAAAAAATAAATTAAGTAACAATGAAAACACACCAAATTGGTTGTTTCATAAAATAGGGATTTTTATTGTTACGGAACAACGAAATTTAACAATACGGTACAATATGCTTTAAGTAACAATCAAAATAAACATTGTAGGTATAGTAACGATTCAATACAATACAATGATCCAAACATAGTGTTAGATGTTCAATAGGTACAAGACTTGGTTGAGGTGTGTAAATAAATTATTCAGATATTTTTAAGGTGCGGTCAATAACTTAAGCCTTATTTTATTGTCATATATATTTGAAACATTATTTCGTAGTAATAACGTAGTATACTGTTGTGTCTGGGTGTACCTTTTCGATTTTGCCTTTTGTCCTTGTCTCACGACTAAAAGCATGGTACGAGTCAAATAGTGAAACATCAATATTTTACAGATCGTTGTAATTGATGTATACAATTCAAATACTAAAACTACTTCTACACGGAATTATTTGTCTTTGTCCCACTTGATAAACACCATTTACCAAATTATAAAAGTTCTAACAAAAGAAAACAGAGAATTTTACGTCAAATCTACTTAAACTATATATTTTTCAATTAATGTCTGAATTTTAAGAATTATTAGACGTTAATTGATGTGAAGCATATATAAATGTCTCATGATGAATTAAAGTACGGTGAATTAACTTTGATAATTGAGAAGGCCAAGAAGATGTTAAATTTAACGTACAATGGTCTAAATACTATAAATAAAAAATGGTTCAATCATATGATACGAATACAAATTATATTCATATCTAAATTTGACAATTAATATCTTAGGTAATTATTTAAATATAAAAATATTTTTATTTATATTATAAAATTGAAGGAGTAATTGAATTGATTTTCAAATACTTTTAAAAAAAAGTAACAAGGAAAAAAAGACCATGAAAGAGAAACAGAAGATAAAAAAATAAAAATAAAAACTGAGTCCCATAAATCAAAATATAATTGCAATAAAAAATTTCCTCACGCAACTAACACAAATAAAAATAAAAACTGAGTCCCATAAATCAAAATATAATTGCAATAAAAAATTTCCTCACGCAACTAACACAAGTTGTGCCTCTCCTATAAACTTTTTTCACCCTCACGAAAAACTTATAAAAATAAAAAATAAATATTAAATCATTTGAGGATTATAAAATCAAAAATTTTACTATCACAAATGCTATGACACGGTAAAACTCTAATATCTCGGATATGAAAGAAAGTATTCTCTATCGAAGTTGTCTTTCTAAAACTAAAGTAATTTTCGGTAAATATTTTTTTAAAAAAATTATTCTAATAAAAGTAAGAAAAGCCACGCCACGTCTCACAAAGTAATATTACACTCCACATTAATTATTGGATTGTAACATTATATATAAAACATGTTTTTACTATTTTTATTAGAATCATTTTTAGAATTTTCTTTTTAAAAAAAAAATAAATATAAACAAAATAAAAACCTAATACTTTTCTATCTCGTTTTATATGATTTGTTTTTTTCTTCTATTTCAAATTATATATTTTTGTATTGAATAACAATTTAATTTTAAAATATATATTTTATTATTAATAAAATAATTTATAGTTATATAAATATTTATCATTCATTTTAAATTATAAATCTTTTATTCTTTATTAAAATTTGATGGTATCGAATTTAGCTAGCTTATATAAAATGAGACGAAGAAAGTATCTAAAAAGTCTTCCATATTCCATACCAAACACAACGTAGCTAGATATAATTCACTTGGCCGTCGGCAGTCGTACGTGCAGCTTAGTGATGGGAGACGAGGACAATTGCCTAACTTTTGTACTTATGCTGTTTCATAAGTTTGATTCCACTATATGCTTTAGAACAAATTATAATTCTATACAGTGTCTAAAATTCGAAAGATGATGTAATAGCTTAGAAAGCTTTTAGAAAACAGAAAAAAGTATATACTCTGCGATTACGTTAAATTGATATTAATAATTTAATTATTGCTTAGAGACCTAGAGTTATATAAATATTATTCTAATTAGTATTGATTATTGATTAAAGTTACGCAAATATTTCTTAAATAATATCTCCAAGGTTTGAGGTAATGTGGAGTTGGAGAGAGTTTTGGCCATAAACTCGGAGTTGGCCATATAACAGTTTAAAGTATTTGAAGAATGAACAATATAATATTAATATTATTATAATTTGTTATATAATTCATAAAGTAACAAGATAGTGTCACATTTTGGGCTATAAATAGTTGTTATGTGTAGAAAATAATAAAAGAAAAGTATGATTTGAGAAGTCTTCTTATTAACCAAGATAAGAAGATTCAATTAATACAAATGACTGAGACAATTTTTGTTTATACTTATAAATGGATGATTTTAGATACTAAGGATCTAGACTATTCTAATCATTTCTACAAATATCTTATAATGTAGACTATTTAGATTTTTCTTAAGTATAATATCAAAGACATTTACTCTATAAAATTTTAGAAAGTTCTATTAAATATCTAAGATACTTTTTGTATCTCTGAAAAAGCAACTTTAGTTTTTTACGCTCCTTAGAATGATTCTTTGGAAAGTATCTCACACTTGTCTTGAAAGAACTCAAACGAAGTTTTATGCTCCATCTTGGTGAATATCTTAGCAATTTCTTCCGGACTCCTCTTACTTTGTCAAATAATAAAGATTTTTCAATATCGAATGATCTATATAAATTATCTCTCTGCTAAGTTCCTGAACAACCTCTTTCTCTAATCCCCAAAAAAATGATTTTTTTCAAAAAAAAGTAAAAAAGACACGTTCCACATAACTAATATTACATTCCACAAGTTAATTATTGAAATAGCTAAACATGTTTTTTCCTACTTTTACTAGAATAATCATTTTTTTTTTAAGAAGTTAATTTTTCTAAAAAAATTATTAGAAAAATGAAATCCTAAAACACCCTTGCCTCGTTTTATATTCCCTCCGTCTATTTCTATTCGTCATGTTATCCTTTTCGAAAGTCAATTTAATTAATTTTCATAATTTAATTAGATTATATTAATTTAATACTTTAAATAAAAAAGTTAAATATTTTAAAAACTATACAAAAAGATAGTACTACAAATTATAAACTTTTACATATTAATATAAATATAAATAAAAAATTTTATAATTTGAAAAGGAAAATATGAGACGGACGGAGTATTTCAAAGAGTTCTTCGATACCTAACTCAACCTAGAACTCTGTGGCCGTAGACAGTCGTACGTGCAGCTCAAGGATCTCCTTCTGATCTCGCTATGCTGTCACTCTTAAGTACTTATGCTGTTTCTTTTCTTCTCATATTATAATTCTTTCTAGTGTCTAAAATCCAAAGATGATGCATTAGCTTAGAATGCTTTTATATAGAAAACAGAAAAAACTATATTAACCAAAAAAAGTATATACTCGCAATTATATTACACTGATATCAAATGATTAATTTGATTGTTGGTTAAAGTTATACAAATATTATTATAAATTGCATTTATTATTGATTAAGATTATGCAAATATTAATCTAAAAAAAATATTCGTAAGGTTGAGACTTGAAATAATGTGGAGATGAACATTTAAAGAGCGAATAATACAATATTATGTCATTATAAGATAAATTTTGATATATTTCAATATTGAAACTAATTTCATCAAGTAACAAGATACCGTCACATTCTCGTATTTAGTAAAACATCATAATATTTTAATATCTTTAGTGTAATCAGGAGTAATAAATTAATAGTTTTAGTGTAATCAAGAGTAATATTCTCATATTTAATTAGTGCATAAATTAGTTGTTCAATTATAAAAGTGTGAAGGAAGTGAACGGCGTAAATGATAAAACGACAAGAAAGAAGCCTATAAAAGCAAGATACTTTCCAAAAAGAGCTTCACAAAACAGAAAGTTTCTTTATAACAGCATCTCAGAAGATTCATAGACGATGCTGCACATAATATAATACTCTCTTTTTAAAATAATTTATTTTAATGTTACGTATTTATATTAGAGTTTAATTATTTAAAATTCGTATTGTGTAGGCCCTATTTGGGCAGATACACTCTATGAAGAAATTTTTCATATTTAGACTCAAACTCAAAATATTTAATTAATAGGAAGCAATCTCATACGCTGTATCACATCGTTAGGTCATAATATAATACTCTTATAAATACTGAGTACTATCTTATTCGAACCTCTGCTTCAGAAACAGAGCTTATTGAGTGTTGAAACTGAAAAAGAAGAAGAAAGAAATAGAGAAGAAGGAATAACATCAATGTCTGACTTAGAGTTTTTTCTTTTTCTTATTCCTCCAATCTTAGCAGTACTTATAATTCTTAATCTATTCAAAAGAAAACACAACTTTCAAAATCTTCCACCAGGGGATATGGGTTGGCCTTTTCTTGGTGAAACTATTGGTTATTTGAGACCTTATTCAGCTACTACTATTGGAGATTTCATGCAAGATCATATTTCTAGGTAAATCCCTTTTTTATTTGTGTGTTTGTTGAATTTTTGTACTGAAAAAATTGGATCTTTTTTCAGGTATGGGAAAATTTTCAAGTCAAATTTGTTTGGAGAGCCAACAATAGTTTCAGCAGATGCAGGGCTAAACAGATACATTCTGCAGAATGAAGGGAGATTATTTGAGTGTAATTATCCAAGAAGTATAGGTGGGATACTTGGTAAATGGTCTATGTTAGTTCAAGTTGGACAAATGCATAGAGATATGAGGATGATTTCTCTGAATTTTTTGAGCAATGCTAGGCTAAGGAATCAACTTTTAAGTGAAGTTGAAAAGCATACTTTGCTTGTTCTTGGCTCTTGGAAACAGGATTCTGTTGTTTGTGCACAAGATGAAGCAAAGAAGGTGAATAAGTGGCTTCGCACTATTTTGTTGTAGTTATTGATCGTATTTTTTCTTCTTTTTTCAATGTATTTTATCATGATTTTTGCACTTCCATAATTTCCTTAAGGTGAGTGTAAAACACTCTACCTTTCAAGGTAGGGTAAGGTTTACACGTTCAATGTACTCTTTCAGACCTCGTTCAATGTACTCTTTCAGACCTCATTTGTATGATTACACTGAGTATGTTATTATTGATGCTACTCTAACTTTGGAAATTGTTGTTGTTTTGTGTGTGAAATTTCTACAGTTAACATTCAACTTTATGGCAGAGCATATCATGAGTCTACAACCTGGAAATCCAGAGACAGAGAAGCTGAAAAAAGAGTACATCACATTTATGAAAGGAGTGGTTTCTGCTCCATTGAATTTTCCAGGAACAGCTTACAGAAAGGCCTTACAGGTACCATTATAAATCACTAGGACATGAACGTGCTTACCATCTGAACAACCCCTTTTACTTGTTCACTTATTTTCAAGTTACGAATTATTTTTCTCTTTTCAACAGTCTCGATCAACAATTCTTGGATTTATTGAGAGAAAAATGGAGGAGAGGCTTAAGGAAATGAACAGAAACGAAAACGACCTTCTAGGTTGGGTTCTGAAGAATTCAAATCTCTCAAAAGAGCAAATTCTTGATTTGCTACTGAGTTTGCTCTTTGCTGGCCATGAAACTTCATCAGTAGCAATAGCTCTGTCTATTTTCTTACTCGAAAGCTGTCCTGCTGCTGTTCAACAATTAACAGTAAGTTCAAATAATCAAACACTTTTATAGAATTTTCTTCTAGTCCACTCTTTAATATTTTTTCAACTTGTTGGTAATAAATTTAGGAAGAGCACTTGGAGATTTCCCGGGCAAAAAAACAGTCAGGAGAAACAGAATTAAATTGGGATGACTACAAGAAAATGGAATTCACCCAATGTGTAAGTTTATACTCTTTAGCTCTTATCAACTCATTTAAAAGATAACTGTTCGTACACAAAGTACAATTGTTTTGTTACATGTTACACACACATTAATAGTGTGAAAACTCTATATACATTGATAGTAACACATATGTAATGCTAAATTATTATTTTTTCCTTCACTTGCAGGTTATTAATGAGACTCTAAGACTTGGGAATGTAGTGAGGTTTCTGCACAGGAAAGCTGTGAAAGATGTTCGATATAAAGGTATTATTGTATGATGATGCATGGCTTCAGCTTTAAAATCTGATTTGTTTTTGCCTTTTTAACAATCTTTTTGTTATTGTTCTGTTTTTCAACTTGAAAACTCAAAAAAAGGTTATGATATTCCATGTGGATGGAAAGTGTTGCCGGTGATTTCAGCAGCGCATTTAGATCCTTCACTTTTCGACCGACCTCACGACTTTGATCCTTGGAGATGGCAGGTTAGTCAATTTGTGCATTTAAACCGACACTCAATTTAGTGTACAAAGCATCCCACGTTATTAAGGTCTTTAACTCAACTACTCTAGTGTGTGATGTATATCCAAATACAAGTATTGGTAAAAGCTTTCACGATTCAAAGTCGTAATCTATAAATCACACAAAGATAATTTTATTATTGTTCCAAGAGTTCATCCAATTTTAAAAATCTTTCATAGATAAATGTAAGTAGTAAACTAAACCTTGCAACTTTATGAGAAGAGCTAAAGGAAAGTTAAATTTGAAAGCAAAAAGTAGTTTTTAATGCATCCACCAATTTTAGTCGTCTTACGTCGTGGGATCATGTGATGAAAAATTGAAAGGAACGCACACCTCTAATTTTAAGAACCAAATATGTGCTTCAGCTTTAAGATTGGAATGTACTTATTAAGCTACGTTACGGGGATAATATTTTCCCAAAAGAGAAAACAATAATTTAATGGATAAGGGAGTGAATTAAGACTAGGTTGGGGAGAGTGGAAAAGAACATTCTATGTAGGCCGTTTGTTGAGTCGCATGATAGAACATATAAAATATCATCAATTAAAAGCAAGGTGGGATTTAGCCATCTTGGTAATCATAATAATCCATAGAAATGAACTGTCACAATCAATTCATGCACATATGCTGCTGCATTATGCACGAAGTAAAACCACACCTTAAGCTTAAAGATGTGAATTGGGTGCAAATAATATAAGCAAGGAATAAATATGGTGGGACGGACGAAATTCTCTTTTCTTTAGTTAGAGATTTTGAGTTCAAGTGTTCAGTTGGAATAGATGTGAAGAGTAATTAGTGTTCGGTTCATAGGAATGATCATTTTCAAACCTTGTGTATGTAATTAATATAATAAGTATAAACATTTGATTTAAAACTCATATCAATTGAGTCAGTAGTAAAATCCTTTAATTGAACCAATAAAGCTCACTCTTGAATTCTCCTATGGTTCTAGGACAATGACTTTAATACGTATATATTGGATGACTTCTTATTTTAGTTATTTTCTTGAGAAAAAAAATTGTCTCCATTTGAAGCAATCATTATAATAGCACTCTTTGAAATGCAATCTTTATGTTAATGTAATATGCTTTTTAGATTGAATTATCTTCTCTCTTTTTTTCGTATTTATCTTCTATCTATATAATATATTCCAACCAAAAACTAGTCCAAAGTCCTAATAGGGGAGGACCCAATCAAGGTAATTACACAATTAAAAGACTTGTCCAAACCCAACCCGCATGTGGGTGGTGGGGTTTTCATGTGCACGTGCACCTGTGCTTTTCATGGTGGCTCACCTCCACTCTACTCCATGCTGGTCCATCCATTTCCCATTCTATCCTCTGTCTTGGGGCCACAATTACATGTTATTTTAATTCCTATTTGTCAAAAATATTCAAAGTGCATTTACTGCTTTCAGCACCACTACTTGTTCCTCAATGCAGATACTCACTTATGCAATTTTCATTTTCTTCTGAAATCTAAACTTAATTATCGAATGGGAAGTACTGTACCGCACAGTGTGAAATGCATTGATAATGTCGGCAATATAGTTGAGAGGAACAAATGATACTTTATGTTTTACCATTTAAAGGGTATGAAGGATGTCAAAAAAAAGTATTTTTGTCATTTTCATTGCTTTATTCCAAATAACAAAATCTCGAGCAACTTATTGGGTACTAATAGTTAATTGAATTTGTTGTCTTTGGTTCATCGTACCAAAATGACACCTTAGATTTAAATTTAAAAGTGATGAGTAGTGTATTAATGCAGAACGCAGAAGAGTCGCCTTCAGGTAAAGGAGGAAGCACAGGCACAAGCAGCACAACAAAAAGTAGTAATAATTTCATGCCATTTGGGGGAGGTCCACGTCTATGTGCAGGATCTGAACTGGCCAAACTTGAGATGGCCATTTTCATTCACTATCTTGTTCTTAATTTTCACTGGAAATTAGCTGCAACTGATCAGGCTTTTGCCTATCCTTACGTAGATTTTCCCAATGCCCTACCTATCAATATCCAACATCGATCGTTAAATAAATTACATGACTAGCCCTAATTCATCGTATTAGAATCTACGTTCGCTCGCACATCGCATCGTCTATGGGTAAACATTTTATTATATTGTATAAATAAAAAATGGTAGCTGAACAAATGGGAAAGAGGATGGTACTTGAAATGATTCAAACCAAAAGAGATGTTTTGTAAATCTAGCTAATTATCTAGGAGGTGAAGCAGCTGCTACAGTTTTTGTTCTCTCTTTTTTTTTTTTGCTTTATCTCTTCTCTTGTTTTTTTTTTCTTTTTTCTTTCCGTTACGTAGTACATAATTTTCTATGTAATTAAATACAGCGAAATTATTCGATTCTCCGTTTTTACTTTGTGGATATTCTATTTATTACTTTGCTATAAAATTCCTAATTAACAATGATATGCTCAATCGTGAATGTATGTTTTTAATATGTGATAACGCTATATGTTTATATCATCGAATTTCAATTTAACTTGCAATGATGCTCGTAAAGTAACCGTGGGTGTAAACTTTAAATATTGGAAGGGTGATTTGAACAAACTCATCACACTTTTTAAATTTCGCCCTAGTTAAAAGATGTGTTGTGAAAATAGCCTTCGCTTCAAAATTTGACACAATCTTTTGGAGTTTTTATTTGAAATTCGGTCCAGATTTGGCTCAACAATAATGTTATATATATTTGTTGGAATTTTTGGTCAAATCTCAATGGATCGCTTAGTTCTTCAATATTTATGGCTGAAATTCTGGCAATCCACATGTTAGTTTATTGTTCACCATCACATTTTAACTTTAAATTGAATTTGATATACAACTTTTTATTACCCATTACCGACAAATTTCAATAATGAAATTCAACAGGAACCTTGCTTCACAAATTAATAGATCAACTTTGTCATATACAAAAATAAGAATTTTAAAAAATCATCTTCACGAAATCCAATAATGGATATCTCATATCTTGGGGATGTTCTCCCAACTTCTTGTTGAATTAAAATATGTAACACCAATGCATGGTCAAAATTCAATTAATTTTATGGTTGATACATAATATACATCCTAAGTGATTCGTAATATCTAATAAAAATGCTCATAAATCGTGGATTTTCATTTTTTTATTGCATAGCCAAATTTCAACTAATCTTTTTTTGTTGGTACATACTTTTCTAATTGATTCCTTATTAAACAATGATGCTAATAGATTGACGTACGTGGATGTATGTTTAGAATATACGACACCATTAATTGTATGGCCAAATTTTAATTAATTTATGCTCATCACTCATGAGTCAGGTTGACGGAAAAAATATGCGCGGATAATATATAGATAAACATATTTAATTAATGATTAATTAAGTACTACCTCTTTAAATAAAACATACATGATACATGAAGTATCTATATTTGAATATATATTCAGCAATTATAATTGAGGTGCTGTGAGTCGTCTTATTCTTAAAAAAAGTTGGAGAGGACAGTGTACAAAACATAATATAATGAAATAATTGTCAAATCGATATGATAACTTATGGAAGATCTTGTTAGGTACTGTATATTGCATGTGAAGTCCAATCAGATAACAACCTAACGGTAGATAAGAGTAAACAAAGACTCTACTATATATAACCTTGTTCTCTTTAAATTTAGATTTAATTTATCCGACTAGATAGACTTATAACTTTAGGTCATAAAATTAGTAATATTAACTTATGATTTTTAATTTAATTTTTTATCTTATTTAATTAAAATTTAAAAATATTTAAAATATATCAGCTTTTAATCTCTGACATCTTTTAATTTATTTCCAGGACCCACCCCTAATAATTCTTTTTGTCCTTCAATAACTAGTGGGCATGCACTGCCGCACTTTTATTTTCCTTTTTTCTGAATAAAATAAAATAGAATAGGGTAGAGGAAAGAAAAATAACGAAGATGATGATTATAAAAAAGAGAATTGAGTCCTCGTCAATAAGTTAAATCAGATAGTTAATTAATTAAGTCATTAATATCTTCCTTGCTATCTACTTTTTGAAAAAGATAATAATAATAATAATAATAATTAAAATAAAATAAAATAAAATATTAGGTCTTAGCTTAATTTACGCTCAAAAATTAGTTTAAATGGACGAAAATCACTTCAACTTTATAACAAGTCTATTTATATTATTAACCCTGAGGGGTAGCTTGGCTGGTAAAGGCTTGAGGACAAAGTTCTTCAGGTTGTCAATTCGAGCACCAGCAGGGCCATTGGAGGTATTACAAATCGGTTGTGTTTCCAGGGCCCCGTAAAACTAACGCCTTGAAACAGCGGAATTCGATGGATACAGCTAGTCGGGTTCGCAATGCGACACCCGAAAATCATGGCAAAAAAAAGTCTATTTATCTTATTAGCCATGCAATGCTGGAGTTCTATTTACTTATTCAACAGTAATAACTGTGAACATAATAATTAATCTCGATAAGAATATAATAAAAATTAATAAGCCTCATGTAGCTTTGTCTTTTAACTAACTATATCAGAATATTAATCTAAACTATACTCTATATATATGCAAGTACAAATTAATTAACATGGGTGTTATGCACAGTGGAGTTCAATTGAATCCTCCACATAAAAAAAAATATTGTGTCAATAAGGCGAAAATGATTTTTCTTGTGTTATATAGATAAATTGATGAAGCAGTAACAGAAAATTCTAGCATAGCGCAAAGAGAGTTCAAAAATTATGTTAGGAAGATTCAAAATTTATGGCATTCTAGTAACTTTTTTGACACTCAAATTAAAATATATACTACTTCACTTTGAGATATGATTGAATCCAGGCAAAATTTGTAAATTAAATAACAATATATTGATTGAACCAACAAATTAATTTCATCTATTTTTAATTGAGAATTTGGACCTTACATGCATCATTTTAATTTTGTTTAAAGGAGATCTTTTAATCTAGAAATTAATATAAGGGGTTGCACGTGAGTCTTCACTATCTTGAAGTAGGTTGTTCTAGGGAAGTTTTGGTTAATTTTCAACTTCAATTCAACATTTACGGGTTGCATTCAAGTATAGAAACATTATTTAATATTATGGTCTAATAGTTTGCGTTTCCAACCCAAAAGATAACATCCAATAAATAAATAAATGATACAAATTTAAGCAATTTTCAATACGTTAGCAATGTTGATGGATTTATATTTTTAGTAAATTTAAATAAAAGGAGAAGAACCAAATGAATGAATAGGTTATCCAAATTGCCATGCATGTTAGGTCTCCTTTCATTTTCTGACGTGTGAGAAGTTCGTTTTATTGCTCCTTTCTCTATTGGTGTACTATATTCGAAAATTGACTTCACGATTCTTTGGTCTCACAAGCAGCACGTTCCATTTTCAATACTACTTTTATTTTATGGGGTATGTTGTCTCAAAATGTCTCACATGATAAAAATTGTACAATATGAAAGAGAAATAGTACGTACTTAAATAGTTATTGTTTCTACGAGTGTAGTTTTCTTATAGAAAGGTGTTTGAGTTATTTTTTTTCAAGTAAAAACCAAACACTTAAAAATAAAAAGAAAATCAAAGATACAAAATAAGAGAAGATTGTTCGGATGATAAGCATGTTTCACATTTAACTTTGAAATTATTTAAAAACCTCTCTTTGTTTTCAATTACCTAGGAGAACTTGATGTATATTTATGCCAAACCAATAATAACACAACATATTTACTTAAGGTGTGTTTGGTACGAAGGAAAATATTTTTAGAAAGGTGTTTTTTCAAATTTCTCATGTTTGGTTGGGTCAAATATTTTGAAAAATATTTTCCAAATCAACTCATTTTCCTTAAATTTAAGGAAAATTACTTCCCTTCAAAACTTAAGGAAAAAATGAAACATTTTCCAAGACTCTCCTCCTACCTCCCCTACTCACCCCACCCACCACTCTACCAGCCCCCTTACCCCTAAAAAAAATTTTGATTTATTTTTTTAAAAATATTTTCACTTCAACATTTCATTTTTTCACCTCTACCCTTGACCCTCCACCCCAACCCCTACCACCCCCATCTCAAAAAAAAAATTAAATTTATTTTTAAAAAAGTATTTTAAACTTCAAAAATTCATTTTTTTCACCCCTAGATCATCCACCCCCTACTAGCCCTACCCAACCCCCAAAAGATAAATTAATATTGTTTTTAAAGAAAAATTCTAAAACTTTAAATATTAATATTTTCACCCCTACCCTCAAACCTTCCCCTCCCAAAAAAAAATTACTTCTTAAAAAAATGCAACTTCAAATTTTAATTTTTTCGCCCCTATCATCGAATCCACCCCCACCCTCACCGCGAAAAAAATTTAAGTTTGTTTTTTTTAAAATTTTCAACTTCAACAATTATTTTCTATTCTAGTAAAAAATAAAAGATATTTCTCAAAAACATTTTTCATTCAAAGTACACTAAAATATTTTTTCTAAAAATATTTTCTACTCACCAACCAAACATGAAAAAATAAATCAATTATCTACTAGTTTTTCAAAAAAATGTTTTTAAGAAAACATTTTCCTTCGTACTAAACACACCCTTAATCATACGATTACTTAGCCTTTTTTTCACCTTTTTTTTAAAATAATTTAACTTTGCCTTTTTTTCATTTTTTTTTTTAATAATTTAACTTTGGTGAAATAATGTAATTTAGGTGTCAACCAACATGTCTCAGTATGGGCTAGATATTTGACTGGGCTGGTTTCTGTATGACACCTTGTCTTCTCAAACCACCCCCAAAAAAAATATATTATTTTTTTTAAAATGCAATTTTAAATTTTAATTTTTTCATCGCTATCATCGAATCCACCTCCACCCCTATCACGAAAAAAATTTTAAGTTTATTTTTTTAAAAAAAATTCAACTAAAAAGATTATTTTTTATTATAGTAAAAAATAAAAGATATTCCTCAATAATATTTTTCGTTCAAAAATACAAAAAAATATTTTTCTAGAAAATATCTTCTACTCACTAACCAAACATAAGAAACAAAGTCAAATAATCTACTTGTTTTTTAGAAAAACTTTCTAGGAAAACATTTTCCTTCGTACCACACACCCTTAAATCATACGATTACTTAGCCTTTTTTTCAACTTCTTTTTTTAAATAATTTAACTTTGGTGAGATAATGTAATTTAGGTGTCAACCAACGTGTCTCAGTATGGGCCTAGATATTTGACTGGCCTGGTTTCTTTATGACACCTTGTCTTCTCAAATGCCCACTTTCTTTGGGCTCCAAAAAACCACCAATAAAATGGTGGTGGTTCAGACCAATCTTGATGAGTATACTAATTTGGGCCTGTTATCCAACTCTTTACTCG